AGTTTAACTATAAGTTTGCTTAAATGCCTAATCAAAGCAATTTTCAATGACATATCAAATGGCTTAATCAAGCTATATAATGAGTGTTATATCAAACCTTATAATGAGTATTTTAACAAACTGCACATGTGGCAAGCATAGATTGGATCCCTATTTGTACCATTAGAATAAGCTGTAATTTCTTTATACCCTTTGTGTATTTATATCTATTGTATCCAGTAGACAAGAAATGAAATGAAAATTAGCTTTCTCTGTTTTCCTTCTACCATTCCCTTCTCTGTGAACAACTCCTTCATTATCTTCTTGTTCTTGGTTCTAGTCATTACAACGCCTCTCTACATGGTATCAGAAGTTCCGGTTCCTCTTCTAATCCCCTCAAGATGACCTCACCTCTACGTCTGCAATGGCCTCCACAAACACCACCTTCTCACCGACTCAGGCAGACAACTCCAACTTCGATGGTGCCTTCTCATCCCCTTAAATCTCCTCCTCTCTCAAATTCTTATTAAGCAGCGGCTTCGAAGGCTTCTTGACCGGCACCACTATTAGCCTGCCTTCCCTAATCCTATCTAGCACCTGACAACAAATCACAAACTCGGCACACATAACCTGGATCCTGATCGACCAAAACCTCGCCGCGGTACTCTATTTCGTCATTTCTCCTGCAATCCTCCCCTATGTTCTTTCCATCGAACATTGCTCTAAAATTTGGAGCACTCTTGATAATCGGATACAATCTTTCATACGATCAAGAATCGCCCATCTCAAGAACAAACTTCACTTCTTGTCAATAAAAGACAAATCCATGACACAATATCTTCTCGACTCGACGTCAAATCAAAATTTGACGCACTAGCCGCCGCCGGAGCACTGGTCGATGTTGAGGACATCTCTTGACGAACTATATACACTTCTCTGTAGCGAAGAGCTAAATATCACCCACGAAACAACCCAAGAACTACACTCTCTCAACATAGCCAGCAATCAAATGGCTCTCACCGCTGGTCGCGGCAGGGACGCGGACGAACATCACATATCGCGTCGCTCCAATGCTCGCCAACCGAACACACCAAACAAAACCCGTGGAGACAAGCCAAATCGCCCATCCATCAATTGCCAAATATGAGAAAAGTTTGACCATTCGGCCATCAAATGCTGGCATCGACACGACGACAAGTACAACACTGAACCTACGCGTGAATTATTCACCTCACCGTCCCAACCCACTCCCTTCGATTGGTTCCTCGATAGCGGTGCTTCTACCCACCTAACTTTCCATCCCAATCACCTTCAGTAATCACAATATACAACGGCTCAAGCCAAGTCGTTCTTGCTAACGGCCACCAACTCCCATCATCGGGTCACTCCAATATCTCACTCTAACCAGGCCCGACATTCAATTTGCTGTCCAACAACTCTACCAACACATGCAAACATCGCTCAATATCCACCACAAAGCCCTCAAATGGCTTCTTCGATATATTCATGGAACCTCGCACACAGGTATTCCTCTAAACCGAGCTAACCTCACACTGCGTGGATAAGTAGATGCAGACTGGGCAAGCAATCAACATGATTGAAAATCCATCTTTGGCTTCTACAACTTCCTAGGCAACTCCTTAATCTCGTGACAAGTCAAGAAACAAAATGCAACTGCCCGGTCCTCCACTAAAGCAGAATACCGAGCATTGTCCGCCGAAGCATTCGAAATCCTTTGGCTTAGAAGACTTCTAGAAGACTTCCATAAACCGCAAGAAGCCCCAAAAACAGTATACTGCGACAACACATTAGCTATAACACTCACTAACAATCCAGTATTCCACGGCTGCACAAAGCACATAGAAGTCGACTGCACTTCATTAAGGACTGCATCAAGAAAAATCACATCTCTGTTCATCACATTTGCACCACGGATCAACTCGCCGATCTCTTCATAAAAGCTCTACTAACACAAAGATTCAAGCATATGTCCAGCAAACTCACAACCACTACGCAGCCATAAGTTTGAGGGGAGCTATTAATAAACTGCACACGTGGCAAGCATAGATTGGACCACGTTTGTACCGTTAGAATAAGCTGTACTTTCTTTTATACCTATTGTGTATTTATATATATTGTATCCAGTATACAAGAAATGAAATGAAATTTAGCTTTCTCTGTTTTCCTTCTACTGTTACCTTCTTGTGAACAACTCCTTCATTCTTTTATTGTTCTTAGTTCTAGCCATTACAACACCTCTCTACAGAGTATCATATCAAGGCTAAATCGAGCTTTGCATCAAACCTTAATAAAATTTCTTTATGAGCTTGTTCAGAAGCTTTAAATAATATTGTTTGTGATCTTAAATGAGCCTAACAAGAAGATGTTCATATTTGTTCATTTAGGCCATCTCCAACCAAAAAACTCAATTTTCATTCCAAAATGAAGTAATATACATTAAAATACAGTAACTCGTCTCCAACCGAATTCCGTTTTCTAACACAAAAAAAAAAAAAAAAAACTCTATAATGATTTTTTTAAGATGGAGAATTAAATTAAAAAAAAAATTAAAAATTAGAACTATTTTTAAAATTTATAATCTTCTACAACTTTGCTACTGACAATAAAGAAAATCGTATATTTTTTTTTCATAGAAAATATCGTACGAAATTAATTATCATCATTAACTTTTCATTTATATTTGATTTTATGAAGTTGCAATTTACATTCATAATGAACCTAATGAAAATAAAATAACAATATAGTTTGTATCAGCAATTTCAGAAAAATAAACAGTAATATAATTTTTGTCTGCTTGCCCCTTCCTTTCTTCTCAAGTGCTAAACTTTTTTTTTTTCTTGTATCAAATATAGCCTATTTTATCTGAAAAAATATAACTGCATGGACGTTAAAATCCAAGAAAATTTGCACCCATTGCAATTAAGAGTGCAAATCCTCAATTATGATAGTAGTTAGAAGAATATAAAGTAAATTTTATTACGATTAATGAATGGAGGATGATTGCCACTTTTGCTTGCTTGGAAATATATTCAAGCCAAAGAAGAGCGAGCCGAATTCATAGCGAACATGTTATTAGAGAAATCGGCTACTTGGTATCATCAAATTTTCTATTTCTTATAATCAAGTTGGTGGCTCTTTGCACCTAGATTCGAAACTAAGGCTTCGTTTGGGACGGCTTTCTTTCTGCTTCTTAAACCTGGAAGTTGCATTAAGAAGCAATAAGAAAGCTGTCTCAAACGAAGCCTAAACTTTTATAAGTTCACTACTAAGTAAATGATTCGTTAGAAAATATATCGACAAAATACATGCAATTAATTTGTGTGCCTCAAATATTTTACAATAAACATTCTTTTAGTTTAGCTACACACTTTTCATTATTCATGTAGCACAGTATGTAGAACATTATGTAGCCTTTAAACCTTTCTTGAACCTGTAAAAAGAGGGCCAGGGATAGAACGGAAGATACGCAAGTTTTTGTACTCAAACTCATTCAAGTGCAATCCAAGAGCATCTTATTCTATATTTTCATATTTCTCTCTCCTATTTTATATTTTAATATTTGATTGAACTTGTTAGTAAGATTTTCATATAATTTACAAATAATTTTGAATCTAACATCCTTAAGAGTTTGGTGAGCATGGTGCATGCTAAGAACCATAAGAGAAACAATTTATAAAGCAGAACAAAATAATGAAACCTCGACAGAACAAAACAAGGAAACCACGATAAATATAAAAAAACAAGAGTTTGTTACAACAATAAAACTTGCAAAAATAAATTAGTATCTAGCAAAAACCTTTCGAATCATCTCTATGGCCTTTAATTTAGAATGGACTTAACTTTAAATATATATGATGAATGTTTTCTTTATCACGATCTCGCAAAAAACATTTTGTAAGGAGTAACCTCTTGGGTTTGTCGCTTTGGGAAGGACAAAATGTATAAGCTTCAAAAAGACATATAGTATAGAATAAAGTCCTTGTGCTTGTTTTAATAAACTCTATCAGGTTCTTGTTGATGTATATCTTGGAAGTTGCATATTTGGTTACTTTATCTTTATTCATGATTTTTCTTCGAAACTCTATCTTGATGACCTAATCAGAAGTATTACTGAAATAAATTAGTATCTTCAAAATGTTTTTATTATTTAAAATTTGGGACATCCAAAGTACTTTATTGGCATCCATTGTGCTTTCAAAAAAGATAAAGTCTCTCTTTCGCAAAGGAAATATGAAAGACTTACTCGAAGAAGTTACTTCGTGGGTGCAAGCCCGCTGACTCTCTTCGGAGACATTCGATAAATAAAAAAGTGTTAAATCACTATAAAATGATCATTAAGATTTCCTTTGATTCAATTTATGTTAGCCCATACAAATGGGAGAAGTGACATTTGGTATCATTGAGTCGTCTTATTGAACTATTTAGTTTAAATATAAATTTGCTTAAATGCCTAATCAAAGAAATTTTCAATGACATATCAAATGGCTTAATCAAGCTATATAATGAGCGTTATATCAAACCTTATAACGAGTATCATATCAAGGCTAAATCGAGCTTTGCTTCAAACCTTAACCAAATTTTTTTATGAGTTTGTTCAGAAGCTTTAAATGATATTTGTTCGTTTTTTTAAATGAGCCTAACAAGAATATGTTCATATTTGTTCATTTAGGACATCTCCAACCGAAAAAACTCAATTTTCACTCCAAAATGAAGTAATACATCAAAATTCAGTAAGTCGTCTCAAACCGAACTTTATTTTCTAACACAAAAAAAAGATTATTTTGTGTATATTCTTACTCATATTTTATTATATATTTTCTAACCTAATTTTTGTATTAAAAAAAAATTAGCGGGTCAAATAAGTGACGTCAAATAAATGTTAGGCGTTCGGTTGGAGATACTATTAACAATTACGTCATTAAAATTTTTTTTTAAATTTACTGAATTATTCAAAATAAATAATTAAGATATGGTGTGTAGAAAGAAAAAAATCATCCATGCTGCTTGGATGCTGGTCCAGTCATTGCAATTAAAGACAACAAAGCCTCCCAATCCCAAAAAAATCGATGGAGGTGGCCAAAGAAAACTTGAGGCAAGAAGCCCACCTTCTTATCTTCCCCGCCCCCCTCCAAGGCCACATAAACGCCATGCTCCCCTTAGCTGATGCGCTCTCCTCGTCGGCAGCCTTCGCATCAGCTTCCTCAACACAGACCACAACCACCGCCTCCTCAGCTTCTTCTCCCCTTCACAATACTCCTGCTTCTCTCTCCGGCCCAATTTGCGCTTCCTCTCCATTCCTGACGGCCTCTCCGACGACAAACCTCGCTCGGCGTACCAATTGACTGAGCTCTTTCATTCGCTCAGAACCCACTCTGTGGATTCTTTCCATGCGCTGCTGCTCGCCGGCGGGAACAAAGATCACGACGGTTGGCCGCCTGTGACCTGCATTATCGTGGATGGACTGATGCCCTATTTCATGGGCGAAGCTCAGGCCTTGGGGATCCCTGTGCTTGCATTCCGAACTATTAGTGCATCTTCCCTTTGGGTTTATCTTCAGATCCCTCAGATGATAGAGGCCGGCGAGCTCCCTTTTCCAGGTAGCAGACCCCAAGTTCATTGTTTCTTCCATTTTCCTTATAAGGTTTGAAGATTCTCAAATTCATTCACTCAAAAAAAAAACCCAATTTTTTGGTGCTATTATCCTGCTTTGTATGTATGAGTAATGATTTAAAAAAAAAATTTTGCAGCCGATGCAGACCTTGACGAGCATATAAAGAGCGTGCCGGCCATGGAAGGCTTTCTGCGGTGTCGAGACCTCCCAAGCATGTGTCGAAAAGCAACGAAAGCCGACGACAAAGAGCTTCAATTATTCACAAACTTCGCTGCCTGCGGTACGCGGTCGAAAGGACTAATCTTCAACACTCATATTCCCTCGAAGCTCCCATCCTCTCTCAAATCGCTTCCTTCTTCCCAACCATCTATGTCGTCGGCCCCCTCAACGCTCTGGTCGAATCAATTACCTCATCCTCTGTCTCTGCCAGTCTCTTGGCCGAAGACCGCTATGCCCTCAGCTGGTTGGATGCCCAACCATACCGGTCCATCGTCTATGTCAGCTTCGGCAGCCTAGCCCGACTGACGCAGGAAGAATTTCTGGAATTCTGGCACGGTTTCGTCAACAGCGGCCACCGCTTCTTGTGGGTGGTGCAGCCTAATTTTGTAGCTGAAGGAACGACTTCGGTTGAGATGGCGGGGTTGGAGCAGAGAGTGAGATTGGTGGCGTGGGCGCCGCAGGAGGAGGTGTTGCGGCACCGTGCGGTGGGGTGCTTCATTACGCACAGCGGTTGGAATTCGACGCTGGAGAGTGCAGCGGCAGGGGTGCCAATGGTGTGCTGGCCGTGTGCATGGGATCAGTTGGTTAATAGTAGGTTAGTTGGAGAGGTGTGGAAGGTGGGATTGGATATGAAGGATGTGTGCAAGAGGGAGATGGTGGAGAGTATGGTGAGGGCGGCGATGGAAGAGGACAAGGCGGAGGAGCTCCGGCGAAAGGCTACGGATTTGGCGGTTGAGATTGGGAGGAGCATGGGGGAAGGCGGGGATGCCAGGTTGGACTTTGAGAGATTGTTAAAGGACATTTTGTCATTAAGCTTGTGTGCATCGATAGCACAGTAGTCCTATTTTCAGCTCCTGTTGTAATATATATATATATATATGCTAAATTAATTTAATATTAGTTATCTTGTAATAGTAATATATTCCTAATTAAAAGTCTTGATGATATGGGATAGCTTTTTTACTATTTCTTAAAGTAGTTTTTGGCTCCTCTAGGTGAAAAATCCTATATAATGCTAGTGGGTTTTATAATTAAGGCTTTGTTTGAGAGGAGTTTCTTATTGCTCCTTAAAGCAGTTTTATAATTCAAATTTTAAAAATTACTTTAAGAAGCAGTAAGAAAACCGTCTCTAATGAAGCCTAAATTTCATCTTTATGCTAGTATTGATCACTGCTAAGGCTTCATTTAGGACAACTTTCTTACTACTTCATAAAGCGGCTTTATAGTACAAAAAAGATATTTTTTTACTAGAAAACTGCTTTAAGAACCAGAAAGAAAACTGTCCCAAATGAGGCCTAAGTTAGAATGACGACAATAAGATACATGCAGGTTCATCATAATTTTTTTGAGACTTTTATCTCTGTAGCTTGACTAAACTCAATTTGATCCTCTCTATGGCCATTAATTAAGAATAGGCTTATCTCCACATAAATATGAGCAATGTTTTCTTTATGATGATTTCTCAAAAGCAGTTTATATGGAGCAACATCTTGGGTATGTCACTTAGGGGAAGAAAAATTGTATAAGCTTCAGAAAGTCATAAAGTTTAGAATGAAGTCCTTGAGCTTATTTTAATAAACTCTATAAGGTTCTTGAAGGCAAGCTTCCTTATGCCTCTCTCCAAAGCTAGAGAGTTCTAAGTAAAGGAGAGGTGGACTCCTACTAACCCTAAAGGAGTATGTGTGATTATGGGTGGATGATCTACTCAAAGGCATTCAAGAAGATTATGAGGAGATTCAATAAGATGATCTCACTTTCATCAAAATAAATTTATTGGGCT